CCACCGGCCATGGCAAGGACCGGCTGGGGTTGGGGGGTCCATGGTGGAGGGGGCCCAGCCCATGGGGAGTGCACACCCAGTGCCACCCACCTGCACGGGCACGGCTGTGACACCACGTCCCTCCCCAGACAGAGGGGTCTGTGTGGCCTCAAGAGAGGGAATGGGGGTCCCCCTCCTGCAGTGATGGGGGGGCCCTGCCTGGGAAGCAGGAGGCTCCTCCTGGTACCGAGCACCACCGTTTCCACAGCAACCTTAAAGGCCTACAGCATCTTCCACCAAGGAACCTGCGCTGGTGGCGCTCCCGGGGGACACCGAGCCCCGTCCATCACCCCAGGCTCAGACCACGGCATCTCCCCCAACCCCATCACCCCTGGCTAGTGCCTGGGCTCACCCAGAGCCCCCCTCCCTGCAATGAGACCCCAAAGCACAGACCCTGTGCACAGAGAGGGATGGGTACCCCCAAACCAGCCCTGCTCCCACCCGGATGGGCACAAGGAGCCAGCAGTGACCTACAAACGTCAGAGTGATGGGGTAATTAATTCCCCTCTTCCTCAGGCCGTTATCAGATGGAAGAAGACATCACCTGAGACTGTTAATTGGGCTAATTATGCCAGGCTCAGATTTTAAATAATTAGTTACTGCTGTCTCCAGCTTTACTTACACCATTTTCCAAAGCCAGGCGGCTCTCAGCTCCCCAGACCCATCAGACAGGGCAGAGTGGGCTGCAGTGGGGGCCCAAATACACCAAGACCCCCATCTGGGGACACTGGGGACAGCATGGTCCCCCCCAGCACCACAGTGGGAGCCCACCTCATGCTCCCACTGGAGCTGGCAGGAGAGGGCCATCCTGTGCCTTAATGGCAACAGGAGGAAACCAGGAGAAGGGGAGGTGAAAGCACAAAGTAAAGGATTAGGGGCAGGAGGCCTCCTCCCCAATCCCCTCCTGCCTCCCTTCATCCAAACGGTGATGCTAAGCTCCCCCCACCAGACCAAGCCACAGTGACCCCCCAGCAGCACCCCAGGGACCTTTGTTTAAGGTCTGACCCCCATGGGGGACAACCTCAGCCCTGCAGTTTCAGCAATGGGATGTCCATGGGGTTTCCTGGCTGCTCTGCACAGACACAAACACCATTGGCACTGGGCAGGAACCAAACAGGCAACACCCGCCCTGCAAAGGGTCAGGGTGGCCAAAGCCATACCCGGTGTCCATGGGCTGCCCACAGGGGTCACCCTCCAGCGGGGAGGTGGGTGCCTGGGACAAGCAGAGCCAGCGCCTCATCCTTCCAAGGAGCACAGCTCCCTCCCAGCCTCACCCCCGTTATTAATAGCCCTCAGTGGCCTCCTCAGGAGCCATTTGCATCTTTGATTGCAACTCCGAGGCGGGGCAGGGCCCTTCAATCAGCCGCTCCCGCAGCCTCATCTGCATGGCACCAGCGCCCTGCTGGGGTGGGCACAGCGTCCCCATCAGCACCGCCCTGGGCCCGCTGCCCCGAGCCCCCCACCCAGAGCCAGCAGCACCCAAGCCCTCAGGCTCGGGAGGTGTCCCCGGGCGCCCTGCCCCGTCCCCGTCCCCGTCCGACCTGTGCAGCGGGGCAATTACCAGCGCCTGGTGGCGGGCACGGCTCTGGGGCGCTTGCCCAGCCCTGTCTGGAGCTGCTGCACATCAAGGGACAGGGGCAGGCGGGGTCACCCCCAAGCCTCAGCATGCACACCAGTACCGCGGGCTGGGACATGCAGTGGATGATGGAGCGATCACACGTGGGGTAATAATGGGGGGACCAGCACCACTGCCACCATGGCCACCACCAACACCACCAGCACGAACCACACTCAGCTGCCCCATTGCCCCGCCAGCAGCCCCAGGCCAGGGACGCGCCAAGCCAAGCAGCGACAGGAGGAGCCGGGCGGCTCCAGGCCCCAGGCAGACGGGGCCGGGAGCTGTGTCCCAGGACGCCTTCGCTCCCCCCGGGCTCCTGGCAACACTTGGCAGGAAAAGGCAACCCAGGGTGAGGCGTGGGATCGAGCCTGGGGAGCGGGGGAGTGGGGAGAGGGCTCTGCTACCTCCCTCCTTCTGCCTCAGTTTCCCCCGCAAGGAAGCACACCGCACGTTACCGGTTGGTGTCCCGGAGAGCAAGGTGGCGGGGGAAATCCACGGGGAGGTACAGAGGGACCCAACTGTCACTGCAGCCGTGCCAAGGAGGGAACTGAACGCAGGCAGGGCTCGAAGCACAGATGCCGGCACCGGCTGTGCCGCTCCGCAGCAGCGGGGCCGTCTGGCAGGCAGAGCCGGGGCTCCCCATGGGCTCCAACCCTGGGAGCCCCAGCGTTCACAGCCCCAGCACACCGGGAGCCCTGCTCCCATGGCACAGCCCCTAGCCCAGTGCAGCCCAGCGGGGAAAGGGAGGAGAGGGAGGCTGGGAGCTCCCCATCCCGGCTCCGTGTGCTCCGAGGCTGTGCCGAGGCTTGTCTGGGCGAGGGCTGGCCGGGAGCCATACGCTGCACACCGAGACGAGGAGGTGGCTGCCAAGGAGGAGGGTTCGGGCAGGAAGGGGTTAGCAGCAGCTCCAAAGGCTGCCGGGGGGCTCCCGCTCTGCTGCGGGGGGACTCGGCTGCGCCGGCACTGGTGGGGTTCTCCCACGAGAGGGGCTCTGCGGGGCATGGACCCCCCTACACGGAGCCGGACCCGCTCCCATCCCGCCCGGCACCCCCTCTTCCTGCCCGCACCATCGCACTCACCCTGCGCCGCGGGCTGCTAAGCCATCGGGTCCGCCTGGGAGCACCGGAGCAGTGCGGCGGCGGCGGCGGCCGGATGCGCTCTCTCCCTACAGCATCCCTGCGGGCTGCCCATGCTCGGCCTCCACGGGACCACCCCCGGCGGTCACGGCCGCGCTCCCGGGCCCGCGCCGGCACCGTCCCGCTTGCGGCGAGGCGGCGGTGGCGGATCCCGCGTCCCCACGCGCCGGGGACACACCCCCGTGCGCCCCCGGGAAGGGGCTGCCCACGCACCGCCCACCGGATGGAGGGAGGGAGGAAGGGAGGAGGGATGAGGGATGAGGGATGAGGGATGAGGGATGAGGGATGAGGGATGGATCACGGACCCACGGCTGCTCCTCACCGCTGCACCCATGTGCACCGCGCCCCACAGCCCCATCGTTCCCACCCCACACTACCCCCACACCCCCCCCCCCCACTGTTTTCTACGTGTAGCTCCCCGACACCCACAAACCCACTGGCACCCCTGGCGTGGGGCTGTCCTGAGCTCCCCCCCACCCAGAGAGGGTCCAGAAGAGACCCGAGCAGGTGAATGTTGTGACATGAAACACAGAACCCATCGCTGGCACTGCTATGGCAGGGACATCCCCATCCAACACATGCAGCATTTCCCCATTAACAGCCCCATCATCCCCCAACCAGGGACCCCTGGTTCCACCACAGCCCCTCCTTGCCCCTCAGTGCCAGGGATGGGACACCAGCAGGTCCCCCACTGGGCATCCCTCCGGGATTTGGTACCTCCATCTCCCACAGTCCTCTTGCACCCCCACACACCCACAGACAGGCTGTTCTGCTCCGCTCTGCCCACCAGAAACTCCAGCTAATTCCCAGCCCAAACAGCTCCTTGCCCTGCCGAGGAGAGGCCAGGCAGGGAGCGGGGCTCCTACCACTGCCTGGGGCCCGAAGCTGCCTGTTTAAGGCCAAACAAACCCTTGGTGAAACACGGAGCACTGGCAAGCACACCGCAAACATCTGCTCTTCCAATGGCATCATGATTCACAGGCTATTAATTGGGGCTTGGCAGCGCTGGGAAGTGTTTGCATCCCCTGGCTTCGCTCAGAGCCACAACTCGCTGCCGACCAGGTCCTGGTGCCGGGGAAGGAGCCAAACCCAGCACTTGGCTGCAGTGGAACTGCACCAGGATGGGGCATGGTGCCCAGCTCCCACCAGCCCCCCGGGAGCAACACAGAATGAGCCCCAGGAAAGCAGCATCAGCACTCGGCGCTTGCCAGGAGCAGCCGGCACCACCAGCACAGTATCACTGCATGGCAGCCCCCGTGCCCACCAGCACCGGGCTGTGGCTTTGGCTCCCTCCCTGCATGGTTTGTGGGTGCTGGTGATGTTCCAGGCTCCAAACAACACTCGGGTCCCCCGGCACTGAGCCACTTGCTCCCCGGGGCATCAAAGGGACCCACAGAGCAGCTCCCTGCTCCAGCAGCAGCAGACAAAGACGAGGAGAAGCCTCCTCCAAGAGGAGCTTTCTCCCATGTGATGGCTCCTTCCTGCTCCAGCATTTGGGGAGGAGGGAGCTGGATGCGGGGGGCACTGACACAGGAGCACAGGGAAGGGGACACTGAGCATCCTCAGCACCCCTGGCCCCACAGAAACAAGGAAGGTACAAGTTCATTCTCCCTAATCTCATGGGCTCTTGCTCCGCTGCCATGTGCCAGCGCCATGGAGGCAGGGAGCACCCAGCCTCCCTATGGCTTCGCTGCATGGCCGGTATGGCCGGGCTGGTGCCATATGGCCCTGGGGATGAGCTGCTGGGCGCTGGGCATGGGGAGCAGGAGACCAATCCTGCCTGGCTTGGGGGAGCAGAAGGGACTCGATCCTGCCCAGCTTGGGGGAGGTGAGTGTGGGGTGCTGAGCTCACAGCCTGTCCCCTTCCTTGGCTCCTGGGGTGCCCCCCCGTGCTGCTGCTCACAGGGGGACTGAACATCATAGGGCCATTGAGAGGGCCGCAGCCCTGAAGCCACTTTGGCTTTACACCCAGTTCTCGGGGCTGGCAGAGCCCCAAGGCCACGCTGATGGGCACTATGCAGGGGCAGCAGCACCAAGCACCGCTCTGCACGTGTCCCCCTCCTCTGCCACCCGCCGTGCCCAGTGCCCCCTGCACCAAAGGGATGTCCCCCCCCTGCCACCCCCATCCACCCATCACCGGGATGTCCCCAGGACACGTCCGGCCCCCGGCCCTCCCCGCGCATCCCCCGGCTGCTGGCATGTCTCACCAGCTATTCTTAGCTCTCCAGCGCTGCTCTCTGCCGGCAATGGAACCGTGCATTACTATTATTGCTGGCTGCCAGCGTCTTGAAGCAGCAGCCAGGATCGTGGTGGGGCTCCCACCCCCCTGGAGCCCTCTCATTCGGCCCCTGCCGGCTCTGCTCTTCAACAGGCTATTTCAGGAACCCGTTGTGATGGGCAGAAGGAGCCCAAGCCCCGCGTTCAGCTCCTGAGCTGGCTCCAGGCTCCTCGTGGCACTGCTCAGATCCACATTTTACCTTCGCCCGTGACAGCAATAAGGGCCAAGAGTCACCTTTGGCTCCAGATCCAAATTTCTGGCTGGGTGGGATCCGGGGTTTTGGATCAGCTTGTCAGGGAGACGGGAATGCCTGCAAAACCTGGATCTGGAGCCCCAGCCCCAGCCGCAGCAGCACCGCTCGCTACAAGACCTCAGTGTGGAGCCTGATCCTGCCTGCGTGGCTGGGCAGACCCATGGAGACCCACACACCAGCACTGCACCAGCCTGGGGGCTCCTGCATGGGCTCTGTGTCCTGCAGGTCCTGGCACGGCTCTGCCTCGGAGCTGGTGATGGAGAGGCTGAAGCAAGGACCCCAGTAACCCCCAGCCCTGCCCAAGGCTGCTGGGGTGCTGGTGCCTGCTCCTCCAGCCCACACGGCACAAGCCCTGGCGCTCAGGAGAGAGATTCGGGCAGCGAGGGCTCAGCACTGACTCACCCAGCCTGGATGGGGACACCAGGGTTGTGTCACCCCGTTCCCACAGCAGGGATGCTCCTGGTGCCCAAGCTCGGTGCGGTAACAACACCCAAAGCAGCCCCACACGCGGCTCATGCCCACGCAGCCCCGCACCAGTACACTCACCACCCCCACAGCCAAGCGGGTCCCTCCAGCTCAGATGCTCCACAGTCCCTTTGATGGCGATTTTCCTCCCTGTCAGCCCTGCTGGTGCTTGAATAACGCTTTGAAAGGGCTGACGTGCTCCTTCCAGCCTCCCCAGCGTGGCTGTGGTCTCCCAGTGGCCATCCCCACACTCCATCCCGCAGCAGACAGGGTGCCCGAGGGCTGGGAGCCGTGGATGTGTGCGGGAGGACAGTGGGAGCACCAGGAACCGAGGGAGATGGGAAATTACATCCATTTCCTAAAGGAGAACCTGTGCTGCTGGCCGGATCCTGCCCTGATTTACACCACCTGGGGCCACCTGCTCCCAGTCCAGACACCCACAGGGGTAACCAGCACCCAGCAGCCCAGCTCTGTCCCCTCCTGCCTGCTCAGGGCTCCGTGCCCACCCCCGGGAGCAGGCAAGGACCTGCTGCTGGTACCACAGCTCCCAGTGCCCATGGCTCCCTGCACCCCATGAGGGAGGCGACGTGCAGGGCTGGATGTCACGGGATGGAGGGAGATGAAGCGGTCCCAGAGCCAACTTGCTCTGCAGGTTCGGCACAGGGTGGAGGGACCAGATTGGCTCCTCCAGCAAAACCCAACCGTCCAGGGAGGTGACAAGAGAGACACCCAGGCCCAGGCCCCCAGAACGCAACCCCTGCCTGCCAGGCTGGGTTCTGCCATGGAGCCTGGATGCACGGTGGAAGCCACAGCTCTGCCCGTGCTCCAGCACCCGCCGGCAGCCCCAGACCCAGCTGGGACGAGGCTCCTGTACCCAGTGCCAACCCTCCCTGCCTCCCACGCTGGCCAGATGGGAGACCACCGGGCTGGGGAGGGGTCCTGGGCCTGCCCAACCCTGGCCAGAGCCCTCCATTAATGAGGGAGGGCACCCGGATGGCTGTTGTATGGCTTGGGGATGCTTGAGGATGCTTAGGGATGCTTGGGGATGGTGGACATCGCCTCCTGGGGAGGAAGCTGGAGGAACCAAGATCTTCAGCGCCCTCCCCAAAGCCTCCCTCAGCAGGAGATGGGGGATGCCCGCACTCCTCCTCCCGCACCCACCGGCAGATCCTGAGCTGAGCACCGCGGTGCCGCTGAGATGCCCCCAGCCATCTTGACAGCTCCCCCCGCAGCAGCACACGGCGGGGATGGATGGGTTCCCGTCCCGGTGCCCCGATGGGGAGACCCGAACCCCCCGCATCCCCCCGGGACCGGTGCCGCACCGGGCACCGCAGCTCTTACCCCGCTCCCGCTGCCTACATCCTCCGTCCGCGGCCGGGCGGCTCCCCGACGGCCCGGCCCGGCTGCTCCCGGCGGGGCTCGGTTGGGAGCGGGGCGGGCGGCAGCATGCGAGTGGCGGCGGCCCCGCAGTGCAGCGCGGATGGGCGCGGAGCGGAGCGGTGCGGAGCGGAGCGGGGCCGCCGCCGCCGCCGCCGCGGCACAGCCAAGACACGGCGGTGGATTTTCACCGGGAGTCAGAGCGGGCGGCGGCGGCGCAAGATGGCTCCGGTGCGGCTCTGCCGCCGCCTCCCGGTACCCCGGACCCCGGCCCCGAGGAGCGGCGCGGAGCGGGGAGACGGGACGGGACGGGGCGGCTGCGGGGCCGGCAGATGCCGATGGCGGGGCTTGGGGCGTGGGTTCTGCTACCGGGAGAGGTGGTACCCAGCGGTGAGCAGCGGGGGCACCCTGGGACCCGCCACTCACCCGTGCCTGGGGGTACCCGGCCTGCCCGGGATGTGCGGGGGTACCAGGACAGCCCCTGGTAACCGGGACAGCCCCAAGGATGCAGCAGACGAGGGGGGCTCGGTGGCTGCCACCCTCGCCCCACACTGTGCAATTTGCTAATAACAATAATAACAGCAACAGCACCAGTACTAATGGCAATGCGTGGGTTAGGAGTGCAGCAGCACAATAACCTGGCTGATGCATTGCTGTGCGGTGGTGGGAGCCATGGCACGTGCCTGGCACTGGTGTCACACTGGGCATGAAGCTGCCGCCGTGGTGTGAGGGAGCCCCTGCCCCAAGCGCGGTGGGACACAGCCCATGCAAGTGCCTGGAGTGGGTTTTTCATCATAGAATCTGAGAACCACAGAATCATGGACGGGTTTGGTTGGATGGGACCTTTAAAGCTCCAACCCCTGCCACAGGCAGGGACCCCTTCCACTGGAGCAGCTTGCTCCAAGCCCCTGTGTCCAACCTGGCCTTGAGCACTGCCAGGGATGGGGCAGCCACAGCAGTCACACCATCGGTCATCCAGCGGGTCTGGATGGACATGAGTGTTCCCCTGGGGTGGCCTGGGGCAGCAGGAGAGCAGCAAGCCATGGGGAGAGCAAAGCCAAGGCACATCCAGGCCCTGCTCCCAGCACTGCGGCTCTGCAGAGCCACCCACGGCCCCCATCACCGCCCGTTCCCAATGAACAGACCCTTCCCTGGACACCAGAGGTGGAGTTGGGGCATGCAGAGAGCCCCCCCCCCCCCAAGTCCTGCTGCCCCCGGGGAGGGGAACCCCAGCCCGCTCCGGGCCCTGCAGCGCCCTGCATTGCCATTGCATGGTTGCTCCTGCTGCATGCGGGGAGCAGAGCTCTGCCCACCCCCCTGCGCAGTTATATAAAGGGATTAACATTTAATAGGAGCTTCAAAAGGGGAAAAAAGGGTCCAGGATGGGGGGGGGGGCAGGGCCAGGTGTGGGGCAGGGGCAGCCTTGGCCATGTCCTGGCTCTGCTGATGTGTGGCACTGGGGTACATGGTGACAGCTCCATCCAGCTCATCCCATGGGCTGCATGGAGCCAGAGCGAAGTGCCTGGGCAGCACAGGCACCCTGTTGTCCTTGCAGCCCACAGGAAGGTGACTGTGCCATGGTCTTCCCGAGTCACCGTGGTGCGCAATCCCCATGGCACACGGAGACCGTGTCCCCCTGGTTCTGGCCTTGCTCTTACACCTTCGCCTCCCTGCTGGCTGTTGAGCAGCCTTTAATGCCCCACCACTGACCAGCACAGCATCACCCACCCATCCCAGTGCCAGGGACACTGGGAGCTGCCCCCAGCACAGGCTCCTGCTGCAGGAGTGGGACTGAGCTGGGGCTGTACCCAGGAGCAGGACCTGCACCCACCAGCAAAGAGACGGGGGAAGCCTTTGGCTCATTCCTGTTTAATCCTAGCCGAGAGCAGGAGGGATGCGGGTGTCAGGCTGGGGAATGCTGGAGAATGGGATCAGCCCAAGCAGCCCCTTCCCAGGCAGCCGAGCTCATGCCATGGGTGTCCGTGATCACACATGTCCCTGAGGGATGGAGACCCCTGGGAGGGGACAGGACCCCCAGGGTGTCCTTCCCATCCTGTCTCACCACATCCCACCATGGCTCTGCCCCCCCCACCGGGTGCGCTGCTCTGCCAGTGCCTGGGAATGCCGGGGGCAGGATCCACACGTGAACAGAAGCCGTGGGCTCGTGAGCACAGAAGGATGCGCAGTGAGCAGAGCAGGGTGGGAGGAGTAGGAGGGGTGCGCAAAGCCAGAGCTCCCCCCCCGCTGCTCCCCATCCCTATCCTGGCACCGGGGACCCCATCCCAATGGGACTGAGGCACCGGGGCAGGCGGGGGGCAGGACCCCGCTATGAGGAGGCGAAGGAGGATGCGCGGGCGCTGGGCACAGGGGGGGCCGGTGGGGGGAGCGGGAGGCACCGGCCCATCTTGCGCAGGGTCTGCCCCAGGTCGTTGCGGAAGTGCCGGATGGAGAAGCAGTAGACGAGGGGGTCGAGGCAGCTGTTGAGGCTCAGCAGGGCCACGCTCAGCGTGTGCAGCACATCCAGGGTGCCGGGGGTCCCGCAGAGCGGCACCGGGGGCCGGGTGCCCACCCAGGGCGCCAGGGTGAGGTGGTAGGGAGCCACGCACACCACGAAGACCAGCAGCATCCCCAGCACCATGGCACGTGCCTGCTGCCGGTGCGAGCCCGGCGAGGCCGCGGCGGGCACCGAGAGCGCGCGGGCGATGGAGGCGTAGGTGCCCAGCAGCACCAGGAAGGCGATGCCGAAGAAGCCCACCATGGCGTAGGCGTACACCCGCTGCCGGCCGTGCTGCTCGAAGCAGGCGGTGGCTCCGGTGCGGGTGCGGAAGGTCTGGTGCGTGGCCAGGGTGGGCACGGCACAGCCCAGCCCCAGCAGCCAGGCCAGGGCAGAGGCCACGGCGGCACCGCGGGGCCCCGTCAGCGGCAGCTCGCGCCGCGCCGCCCGCACCGCGCTGTACCGGTTGAAGCTGATGAGCGCCATGAAGGTGATGGCACTGTAGGTGGCCAGGTAATAGAGGGCACCGGCCAGGCGGCACGCGGCCTCCGAGAGCAGCCAGTTCCCCCCCGCCAGGTAATAGGGGATCCAGAGGGGCAGCGTGAGGTTGAAGAGGATGTCGGCCAGCGTGAGGTTGATGAGGTAGATGCGGATGGCCTTCCTCACCTTGCCGCTCTGCAGGAACACCGCCAGAGCCACCAGGTTGCCCGGCAGCCCCACGCACAGCACCAGGCAGTAGACAGCAGGCACCAGCAGGAACTGCACCGGGTCCCTGGGCACGCAGTGGTCGGGGTGCGCTGCTGGCAGCGGCTCCAGCGCCGAGCCGTTCATCCCGGGATCCTGTGGACATGGGGGCACGGTGAATGGCACAGGACAATGGCACAGGACAATGGCACTGGACAATGGCACAGGACAATGGCACCAGCAGGAGGTGGGGGGGGTCCAGAGGCAGAACCTCCTGCGGGAATGCCGTCGTCTGCCAGAGGGGCTCAGCCTCCAGCCTCGTAGGAGATGAAGGGGTCTGGAATCCTCTCCCAACCCAGCCCATGCCAAAGGGAGCAGCCAGAGGTGCTGTGCTGGCTCCAGCAGGCAGCTGTGGGGCTTAACAGCTCCCAGCACCCCAAATCCCTCCACAGAGCCCATCCATAGGGAAGCCATCCACAAGCACCAGAATGGAGACCCCTTGGATGGAGGGGTACAAGCACGGTGCTGGCGGCCCCCTGCACCCCAAGCCCTGCTCCAGGCAGGTTTGCCGCTGTTGTTTTGCAGTCCTGGCCACAGAAACCCACCCTGTGCCGCAAGGGCTGTATCCAGGGCTGCAGCTTTCACCTCCCATCACTGCCTGCCCACACCTCGCCGACAGCACTGAGTCACCCAGCGGGTGTTTTCCAGCATGGCAGGGCCGGATTCAGCACACGCAGCACCCAGCACCGGGTTGAAGCATGGAGGGCAGGACCTGGTGAGCATGGGGGGTACCAGGGCCCAGCATGGGGGCTTCAGTTGATTTGCAGAGCCTGCTGAGACCCCCAAGGAGCCCCCAGCACCCTCAGTGGTCCCCCTTCCCTTTCCCCCCCCCACCCCTGTTGGCATGGGGGATGCTCCATCCCGCCCAGGCCAAGCTGGGTACTTACCCACGGCGCTGGCCCGGAGTGGCTGCGTCCCTCCGGCTGCTCCGCACTGTCTGATCCGGGCAGGCTGGGGAAGGCTTTAAGTGCTGGGGGAGGCAGGGGCTGCCTGATCCCCCCTCTGCCACCCCAAGCCCCGGTGGGGTCGGTGCCTGCGGGACAGCAGCGGTGGGGAGAGCACCTGCGTGTGTTTGTAACGGGGGATTCCCTGCTGGAGCCATGCTAAGACCCCTGCGCCGGCTGCTGGGGCCGGGGCATGGGGGGCCCCCCAGACCCATCTCGGACCGATTCCCAGGGCCCTTTTCCCACCCACGCCGGGATGAAAGCGGCAGAGGGTCAAGTTTCCACACCCGGCAGCTGGGGGAAAAGAGGGATGCCCTGAAAGGGATCAAAGCTGGAATCTGCCTCCTCGCAGCTCTTTGTGCTTGTGTTGGCTTCAAAGCTGGATTGAGGGGGAGCAGCACCCCCAGGCCCCCCCCACCCCGGACTCTGTGAGGATCCAGCTCAATGCTTTGCAAGGCCTTGCAATTTGTGGATATCCCTTTGGGACACGCAAGGTGGTTCAGGTCCCGCTGTGGGTACAGGGGGTTATCCCAGACAGCCACGCTCCCCTCCCAGCCATCCCAGCTCCCTGCTGGGAGGTGCAGGGGGTTCAAACACAACCCGAGGGGATGGCATTGGCTGTGTCCATCTGGACCCCTGCTGATGTGGAGTCCACTGCAGCAAGATCCCGTGTCTACCCAAGGCACGTGGGCTGGGGGGGTCACGCTGCTGCTGTCACCCCCCTGGATGAGCAGCAAGGGGCCTGGCACATCGCTGGGTGGCTCTGGGTGGCCGGGGAGGCTCCTGTCCCCCTGCACTCCTCCCAGGGACCGCGATGTCCCCTCAGCTCCCACCGAGCTCCCATGGGGGGAGGCAGAAGCAAACGGGGGAGACAAGACTTGAAAAACAAGAGGCTTTATTCCTAAATACGAAAGCCCCCCCCAGGAGAGCAGCGCCAGCCCCGGCCCGGTGCGGCCAAACCCGGGGGAGAGCCGGGCACCTTGCGCCATAGCAACGGAGTGGCTGGAACAGCATCGCCCCAGCCCTGCAGCGTGGGACCCCCGGAGCCAGAGTCCCCGCAGCACTCGGTGCCCCAGCAGGGGGGCACCGCGCAGGACGCGGCGCTGTCCCCCGTAAGGCACCGTCAGGGCCCCGCTTCCCGCCCGCATCACTCGAACTTGTGCTTGGGGGGGTCCGCGTGCCCGCGGATGTTGAGCAGCAGCAGGAGGCCGAGGCAGACGGTGGCCGGGGCGCACATGGCCAGGGGCTCCCGCAGCACCAGCAGCGTGTAGATGGCACCTGGGCGAGGAGAGGAGCAGAGCGTGGGGACGGGGGGTCCCTACCCGAGGACCCCCCCCCGAGGCCCCGCCGGCTCTCACCGATCATGAGGACGCTGAGGATGAAGTTGCTGATCTCCTGCAGCAGCTGCGGCCCGAACGCCAGCAGCAGCCCGGCCGCCGCCTCCACCCAGCCCACAGCCTGCAGGTACCGGCCCGGCTCCGGAGAGAACCCCAGCGCCTTCAGCGGGAACACCTCTGCGAACCGCACGAACTGGGAGCTCTGGGAGCGGAGCAGCCCCGAGCCGGGGTTGGGGGCACGATCCCAGCTCAGCCCCGCTCCCCAGCCCGCTCCCTGTCGCCGGGCGCCCCAAAGGCTCGCAGCACCCATCCCGCCCGCTCCCCGCGGGACCCTGCTCACCATGTGCCGGTGCAGCTCGGCCGAGAGCAGCTCCGAGAGCTTCGCGGCCCCCGCCAGCAGGAAGAAGAGCCCGAGCAGGACGCGGAGGGCGGTGAACGCCGCCGCCATTGCGGGGCCGGGCGAGGCGGGGCGGGGCCGGGGCGGCGCGGCTCGGAGCGGCCCGGGCACAGCAGCTTCACCCCGCGGGGCTGCGGTCCCCCCCCTCCGTCCAGCACCAACCGCGCCCAGACCTGAGCGGGGGGGAAAGGGTGAGAAAATGGGGGAAACCGACCCAAAACCCGGCAGTGGGGGGTGCGGCTGCTGCCAGCCCCGTGCCAGTCCCCGCACAGGGCCGCCGGCTCGGGGGGGGCTGCGGGGCAGCAGCGGGGTTGGGGTGAAGGAGGCGGCTGCCGCCCTCCCCGCGTTCCTAGGCCTGCGTCAGTGCCTGCGCCAGCGCTGGTCCCGGTATCCCGGGTGCCGGCAGCTCGGGGTTGGGAAGCCGAGGCCCGGGGGAGCACGGGCAGCGCTGTAGCTCCAGAGCAAGGTCTGTTAATGCCAGTGAATCATGAAAGCGCAGGAACCGCTTTCCAAGCACTGGGAATGCTGCGTGGCACCAGCACCAGCCCTGGCACAGGGGCTGCAGGCATGAGGGCACAGGTTTTGCTCCTGGCAGAGCATCCTTCAGGGGCTCTGCTGGGAGAGCTGCTCCCGCCTCTGGCCTGTGTGCTACAGAACAAGGGGCAACAGGCCAGGGCCAGCTCCAGCCCTTGGTGCCTCAGAAAGCCGCTGGAAGGGAAACGGGAAAACAACACAAAGAGATGAAAAATCGACATGCAGCTCAGGACAATGGGAGACACCCGCAGCGTGGGCTCCTGCTCTGCTCCCGCAGGAAGCACTGCAGGTTTGCTGTTAACTCTCCTTCCCTTGGGAAGCTGCTCCCAGCTTTGTCCGCACAGCCCAGCCCAGCCCAGCCGGGGCAGAGGCTGGGTTTGTGTAACCATTGCAAAACCACTTCAGTCTGTTTGCATTTCCCAGGGGCCGCCGCTCTCTGTTCATCACCCCAAGCCCCTCATGGCAGAGCTGGCCCAGGGCTCCCTCACCATCCACGCGTTTATGACCTGCTCTCAGCCTGACTTTTAGTTACTGAGGACCCAGTAACCCAGGGGCTGGTGCCCAGCTGTGGATGGAAAACCTGCACCCCATCCCCTCTCCAAGCAACAGAAAGGCATCAGGAGACTTTTCACTATTTCCCAAAACACCTCCCATTTCAGCACACTGCGAAGGAGTGGTAGGAGGTGCAGTTCAGCACACTGAATGCCAGAAACACATAAAGGCTGGAGCAGTTTCACAGAGGAAGCAGCCAGGGCTGCAACAGTGGCAAAGAAATTGGGGCAAGTTACTGGAAAGTAACAGAACTTGAGGGAAAAAGGCTGTGTAAGCCTGCAATAGCTGTGGAGACAAAGACACCGAAAACCAACCCCTTGCGGTGCAGCCATAGAGAAACCACAAAACCGCTTCTGCTGGAGCCTTGTCAGACTCTAGATAATGCCATGAAGGAGTTCAGAGAATGAAATTCCTCAGTTACCCTGCACCTGACTGCAGTACTGCAGGATGAAGTGAAAAGCAGCAGGCAGCAGCTTTTACTGCACCAGGTCCTGGAGAGGATTTAAAGCAGGAGTGAGTTGTGCTCCAGGTGGGCACTAACCCCACAGAACCAGGCACCCAGACACACCTTAAGGATTTCCTATGACTTTGCCAGATTAAATCCCATGTCTTTTCTAGTTTGGCAAGGCAGCTCTGAGCCAAACAGTCATGACTCCTTGTGCTACCGCAGAGCAAAAACCTTATTACAACGCAGCTGCATGGCCAGAGCTACCGCTGGTGTATTTTAACACACTGAACTACTTCGGATTTGAGGGAAGGATTATATTTAACAAGTGACAGCATGGACTACGTATGTGTGCAGTACAGCTGTCCAAAGAGTCAAATGAAGCAACATGAACCTTGGTAGTGGGGGCTGCAAGAGCCAAACCCAGCACTTCCCCAGCTTCCAAACACTCCAACTTTGGTGTCTCAGGTTTAATTACTGGAATCCTCACCAAGAAAACTATTAAAAACCCAACCAGGCACATGTAAACCTTTAGAATTCTAAGACCTAAATAGACAGGCCTCGAGATGGGGGAAGGAATGGGGGAAGCTTCCAGGAATACTTCAAGTGCCTTAGGTGCAAGTGTGGCTTATAAAAACCAGGAACTGCTGCAGTCACTTTGCAGAGGCGCCTGCGGCTGCACGCTCCCAGGAATGCAGCCAGCCTGGGACTGGAGTTTTCTAACTACAGGAGAAGCCCATGGCACAACCCCAGCAGGAAAAAATACGGTGTTGTGTATCAGTCAGTTCTTACTGGAGACGAGGGGTTTCTCTTACAGGACCCAACAACCCCAGCCCTCCCCATGCAGCACTCCCTTTCCACAGCCTCATCTGTGGCAGCATTCCCCACTCACCCACAGTGCACCGGACAGATTTGCTCCCTCACTGAATACACTCTGCAATAAAACAGAAGCTGTTTATAAAAATATTAAATATTTTATTCTTGGAAGTTGCATGTTCCTGGCTCCTCTTCCCTGCATTCAGACTTCATCTTCATCTGCAAGTGCAAAGCACACAATTAGCAAGAGCATTAACAATGCCAGCAGAGATCACGACACAGAATCAGCACATAGCAATGGGCTGTGCACCCATCAAGTGTTCCCGAGGACCACAAATGCTCATGTAAGATGTACAGCATTCACATTTTCATCTGCTTCATAAACTTCAAAGATCTGAAAGAGCCTTATGTTTACTACCCTAAGAACAAGAGGAGCAGTGAGCAGTCACACAGGATTCAATCTCTCTGGCTTTGCATCTCACAGGTTCAACTGTGGTGTATCTGTTACTTACCTGTGACTTGTGAGTTAAGGTACCTTGGCATGTTGCTTCTCACACAAGATTTTAAGTATCTGAAGTTCCCCCTTGTAGTTTTAGTGGTAAATCAGAGGGAAAAGTTCATTAATTCCAGCTCCAAGTTCATTTATTTCCCTAGTCACCATCTGCCTATGCTCTTGTATGTGCCAAGTTTACATTCCAGGTTATTTAGAAAGTTCAACGTTCACTGAAATATTAAAGTTGCTTTTTACCAGCTTCTAGTTTGATTAACACATGAGGAAGCTGCTCTATTGCTCCTTTTTCCTTGCTGACAATCACCCACCCAGTTCACTGAAGCCAGAATACGGAAGTAGTTGTTTGACCACCAACAGCATTCGGGACAGTTTATTTGATGCTGCATGGCTGAAAAGCACTGAACAATGGTTATACCCTTGGTCTACAAAACAAAGATTCAGAAGTTTTATATAAAATGAAGATTAATCAAGGGCAAATTCCAGGCAGGAACTACATAATACTTCCCAGGGTGCTGGGCCACTGAGCTCCCACAGCAGCAGCAGGACACTAACTACTTACTTCTCTTGATTTCTTGGTCCCTCCACGTACCACTGGGCATGGTGCTGGATGTGCTCATGCTCGGCTCCTGAACTGGGAAAACATTTACATGTTACCCCCACAGTGCTTATGAAACCTCTTCTACAAATCCACACCTAGACAGGTTATTTTAACCACTGCTGCCAAGGTACCAAGCCCAGAGAGAGTGCGGGTGGTTGACCCCACAGCTTGACAACAGGTACCATGTTTGAAGTATTCCCTCGTACCCATTTCTCAATATTCACCGATTCAAAGGTGAAGGTCAGTGCCCAGAAGCCTTCATTACTTCACCCGCTCAGAACAATACCAGAAGTTATGCTTACTTCCCATGGATGAGCACAGCGGTTTCACTCAGCTTTCATCTTCACCTAAAGGATAACAACCAAAGTTACTACAGTAATACACAGAAAATTCTGACCATTTCAATACTAACTTAAAAATAAGTTCTTAAAATATATGGACTCGTTAGTTATGAGGGGGGATTTATAAATTATGCCAAAATACTGAGTGGAAGAATAAGGGGCAGAAATAGGCTAACCTAAACACTTGTGAAGAGATGAAGGAATATGCAGGTAGTTGACTCAAGAACTGCACCTTGTCTGAGCACGAACCGTAAATCACCAGTCTGAGTACAAGAAGTTTGATGGCAGCCAGAGGTATACTATCCCTTATGTGAAGGTATTAACAATTTTGTCAAGCTACTTCAACTCTTTTACCCTAGTTTGTCTCCTGTAGTAACACCCTCTTTCTTCCCCTTCATGAAGGAGGGCAATGTCCCTGGACTCCTAACAGCCCTTAGGTTCAATAGTCCTAGAAGTGCTTCGAAAGCTAAAGGAAGACAACAGAGGTTAGCACTGAGTCTACTACTTTGGTCCTCGGCAACAGATTCTTCCACTGTTAAGACCCAGCCTTTTACTGTAGCTAAGAGGAGGGCAAACTGCAATGCTGAGTAGCCAAGGGATGCAGTACACACCTCTAGTTAGGAGGCAAGTCACACCATGGTCACAATGTGATCTGACCAGGCAGGAAGAAGTTTAGTCTCAGACCCACCACCTGGGTTTTATCATGGCCCTCAGGAGCAGAAGTATAGTATGCACGTTTTGTTTTCTATGCTATAGCAACAAACACCATGCATAAGGGATACTATATCTTTGTGCATCCTTTTAACACTCCAGATTCACTTCTAGCCACGCTCCTCCCAACCCCCCCCCGTTAGCTCTTCAGTACTGGTGTTCAGAAGCAACATTTATAGAGATGGGGTATTCACAGACCACTGCGGGACTGCACAGCCAAGTCCTAACGTGTCAATCATTATCTAGCAGCAATGACAGAGGTGGGAGAAGGCCAATCCTCCCTTTTTTTTCCTTTTCCAGTAAGCAGCTATTTAACAGCCCCACTAGCTGGTATGGAGAGGAGAAGAAATCCGAAGCTAATTAGTTAATTCCAAACTTGCTAGTAGTGGAAGAAGCCAAGGAATTACCCACAACAGCATACTTTTTATGCGTCCTTTCCAACATGCTTAGCCTCATTGAACATAATGAAACAAAACACTGGCCTTCCTGATCATGTCACTGCAGCTGGCAATGATTAACAGAGACATGCAACCCCATTACTGCTGGAGTCCTAAAACTACTCACAGGCCTCAGTGTTTAGCTATGGGGGGAAACTGCAAGCAAATCAACACTTTGTATGCTTAATGTTACAGTGAAGCCCCCATACACCCTGTGCTCTCTCCTGACAGCACCAGTATCTGGATCTGAGGGCCTAGCAGTACGCAGATGTATTCTGACACCACACTTCTGAGCTTCAGATAAGCTTTTGAGAAAAAGTGTATTTCACACACAGATAAAACCAAGATGAAACACAATGCAAGCACTTCAATGTCATTTCTGGTACCCATTTGTTACAGACTGACTTAAGAGCAGACATGACTATTGCTTTTAAGTTAACTACCACACCAAGTTTCATTACTGCCGTCAGAGCTCGTATGAGACCCATGGTTCAGTCCCAAACTGCTTGCTCCAAGAGTATCAAAAACCTGCCAGTTCAAGTACGCAGGACAGGGCAGATGTGCCAATAACCCCTCCACGACATTCCTGCAGGTCAAGTCAAGTATCCAGAGCACACTGGAAAAAAACCCTAGGCAGATCTGAGCACTGGCTTAAGGATCAATAATTCAGTTTTGTTACATGATAGTACACATACTGCCATCAGTTTCGCTTCTCAGTTCTAGTCACAGGTAAGAGTAAGCCATCACAAAAAGCCAAACTGACTCTGTGACAAGTGATGTCACTGCTTGACTAGCTGGAGCTGGGCTACACTTGCCATGGTGTAACCAAAGACCTGCTGCTATTATCTTAAAGTGCAGTTGCTACTTCAAGCTTTCAGTGGAACATGAAAGGACAGCCACAGCAGAGGGCAAGACTGGCCAGCAGATTCCCTCTTCAAGCAGCAAGTCTTGCCTGGAAGGTAACACAGAAAGGTCCAAATGTGACAATAATACCAGAAACAAGTATGCAAGGCAGAACTTTGCAGAACAAGCAGGAAAACACGTTACAACACCTCTGAAATAAACTGAACATCAGACAAGAGAGCTAGATCATGTGCTGAAACAAGGGACCTTAAAATTCAGGTTGAAGAGCTAATGCAAAAGAGCTGGAGATCAGTATGTCTGGATGTCTGGAAACACAAGCATGTTAATTCCGGAGCACTAAAGTCGGTGTTTCTAGTAATTAAGAGTTTAGAATTACATCTCCAAGAATGATGAAATTCAGCATTACACTACCAAGATGACTCCACAAGGCAGAAATACAGAATCCCATTACTGTCAGTTAAAGGCAGAGGAATGCTTGTCAAAAAGACAACTGAGATGTCCAATAAGCTCTATAAGCTACTCACAGCGATCATCGTTCAAGCACTTATTTGTATGTCCTCAAAAATGTTGCAAAAATCAGTCTCAGAGCTGACTCTTAGCAAGTTGAAAGTGACTATCACATACTGCACACAAGGCTAAAGCAGGGATTACTAAAGCATTTCCTGTGAGCCAAGACTCTACAAAGGGATGCACTGTAGATGGGCCATGTTGTCACTGCAGAAAGTTTAAACAGTCCTTTTCTAGGCACAGAGAGCAGTCAATCCTGTTGACTAGGTTAAGCGAGTTTAAGATCACATTCCCTCTTCCCCACAGAGCTCATCCAAGAGTATCTTCGTTACATCAGAACTAAGAAAAATCCACACAAGCCGAGTCGTATGTACAAAGGAATCGGGTCTGAAAATACTTATCTAAGAATCACGGTAAGTTGCTTATTGACTCTGAACAAGACAAAGCTTAAAACCGAAAACCACGCAGAGCTTTGATGCAAGCTTAACATACAGGTATGAAGAGTGCTGCACTGTAATTCCACAGTCAGAAGTGTGATGTCAGAATACCCACAGTATAAGATTACATAGAAAGTCACCAAGTTAGATTATATTGCTTGTTACCTACCTGTACGCAGTCGGCAATGAGAATCTTGGAGCAAGCAGGAATACTACATCCGGGTCCTAATGTCCATTGCCATTTGTGGTACTACGTTCCTCACAGTTATGAACTGCAGAAATGCTGGCTAAGTGCAGTTATGTAGCAGGCCACTAGTTATAAGTGTAAATTGCAGTCTCAAAACTCCAGCAAAAACTTGCTGCCACAGTAAATGGTTGCCAAGGAGAAGCCAAGAATTTTTCTACCACAAAAATACCACAAAATCTGAAAAGCAGTTGCAGTTTCTCATCAGCTGTATAAATGATTAGTGTCATGTGTCTACACCAGAAGATAAAAGATTATTCTGCATTCATTTCTGATCAAAGTGTGAAGATCTCTGTATAACGATACCACTTTCTACATGCTGCAGTTTTTAGAAATCTAAGTGTCAAAATGGGCTCACAAATTTGATTAAGCAAGCTAAATTGCAACAGCCAATGTCCTCCAAGTCCAGTACAAAAATGTGTGACGTGATCCAGACTGTCCAAAAACAGATCTGGCCAACAAAGCACTTTTCTAAACGGTTTTAAAGATTCAATTATATAAATCTGGTTTTATGAAAAAAGTCCAAAACCTCAGAGGAACAGATCAAAGGAACATAACTTTCTCACCTCCCACATTTAGCAGATTTTAAAGTTGACATGTTTGCCAGCTTTTAAGACACCACCTTAAAAAAAAGGCTTGAAAAAGAAGTTGGCTAGTTAATTGTATGCCTTTTTAATACATGCAACTCAAAGCAGAACTTGTTTTAGAAGTTCTGCTTCTGCAGCTCCAACAAAGCTAGATTTAGCCCAACTTTCAGATGTTTTGAAAACTGCCAAATCTTTCAGTAGTTACTCATCATGGTTTTGCAACTCAGCTATTTTTAATACCTAGCAACGGGAGCTTACGTATAATACAGGGGTACCAAAAGACAACCTCTGTAAGGTACAAGGACATCAGCATCCTTCACTCTTCCAAGTTACAGAACTACAAAAGAACATACTTTAGGATATGCACCGGCATCTCTTTAATAAAGAATGACATGTAATCTGAAAAATAAACTGAAAAAATTAATTTAATGTTTATGTTCAGAATTCCCCATCTCAGACACCTTCACCTTCTGTGGGTGTCCCACGAACACCCTCCACAACACACAAGCATTGGTTAATACTACTTCAGTAAAGCAAATTGCATCGGTACTGCTGATTTTTAAACTACGTATCAAGTACAAGTACTCCCAAATACCTGCTATGCCATTTAGGAACTGCCAATTGGGTATTTCCTGAAGAGCAATTCGTTGTTATCAACCCCCAAACTTTTCTGGGAAAATAAGCAGCATTCACCAAACAAGCTGAGTCACTCTTTAGTGCACTTGATATTTCAAGTCAGTGTTACCTGGTATCAACAGTTCCCAACAGGCTATTTTTTTCAGTTAAGGAGTAATAGCACTTGCAGCAAGTACTTCAAGAGGGATCACCTGCACTCTAAAATACTGCAATCTGAAACCAAGTTTTAACCACGGAGAAAATTTAGTATAGAATTTAGAATTAGCCAATGCTCAGCACAAGGAATGGGAAAGATCTTGGGAAGGAATTAAAGCTACTCACAGAATGCTCAGTAGTTGGGGAATCATGTGAAGGTACAGCCAAACTAAGTTTACCTACTTTGTGCCAATGCAGGATGCGTCAACCTGCTTAACACCAAGGTCTTTTACACTGGGAAGTCAGGTTCCCAGCTTAGCTGGTACAATGTAATAATAACCAAAGAAACTACCTTATCAATGAGTCCAGAACGCTCTGAAATTCTTCTGGGGCTTAATAAAATGAGCAGCAAGCTAGCGAATTCATCAGATCTTCTACAAGAAAACCTTAAAGGGAGTTTATTCGTACTGCGAAGTATTAACTCTTGAAACTCCAGATTCAGATACTACTTTTGATGCATTATCTCCAAACATCAATAATAAGAGCAATAACCATCATGCAAGCAAGCTGATTGCTGTATTTTACATAGAGGTTTTTAGGCTTTGCCCACCAGCTACACGATTTAAGAATAGTTCCTGCAGTCCCCATAAAACAAATGATTGTATTCTGAACTAGGCAAAGTAGTCTATACTCAGTTACCATGAGGACATAAGCAAGTTAACCTTCATCACTACAGTAACACTTCTGGTCTTTTTGCCAAGCAGTTTCAGGTAAGTATACAATACGAAGCAAGGCCAGATCCTGTAATCTCAGGACAGCTTAAGAGCATATAAATATCACATTAACAATCCTTTAGTTCGGAAGTCAGCCAATACAAGTCATTCTATCAATTTAGTTTAAAATAACCATTGCTAGTCTTCTGCTTAAATTCTTTAAAAGATTCCAAGCAGTAACTGCCAAGGTGGTAAGTGCTACCATCCCACCACCCATTATCCAGAGCTAAAATAGAAACATGATTACATACTGCACTGCTTGCAGTGTAGCTTGATTTAGAGCATCTTGCAGCACTTGCAAGATTTCCATTTGCTTCCTTATTGCAGCACAATTAATGGCTCAAAAAAAGATCTGCACCTACTGCGAAGTTAGGCTACTATTTGACCCAATCTTAAGAGAGAGGCGTTTTGGGAAGAGATCTCACTCTTCCCTGCAGTTCCACACCCTGGTCTAGTTTGACCTCTGCTCAAGACTCTCAGTTTACTGCGGAAGGTGTGGTTTTTTGCCTCATTATGTTTAACCACGAATGGCAAGAAGAGCTACTACATTTAGTTTTCTATTTATTTGAAGCACAGTAAAAAAAAGTTGGTACACTTTGGGAATTCAGTGGCACAAGGTACACTGCCATCAAGTTAGGGACGTTATACATCAAAAAAAACAGCTAAGTTTGTTTTGAAACACTGCATTACATAATTAAATTGTACTCGCCCAAACAGACCACTTACAAATATTAGGTCAGTAAGTTTTCTAACATCCATAAAAACGTAGCTTTCTTACTAAAATGCAAGAATTAAAAAGTTGGTGTCTAAACAAGACAGACAAAAAACAAACTGGAATGAAACTACAGGTCACATCTAAAATCGGGGCTTTTTGTTTGGGCCTTCATATTCTTCTCTCCCTCTACCATATCCTGTTGGTGTTCCAGGCCCCATTCCTCTAGGACCCTGGCCACCCACAGGCCCCGCACCTCCCTGCCCAAAGCGCTCAGGACGCTATTGGAACAGAATTAACAGTTCATTATATGTAGTTGATGTCCATGTGTGTTAAGTATATATTTTTAGAAGGTTCCGTAGTCAAGGTTCGTCGATACAATCACCATTGAGCCGATCCACAGGTACCGGGAACATAGAAAGGAAAAAAGGGTAATTTAAAAATTAGTTTATTGTAATACATGCCTTGAGGTATGTTCCCACTTGATGCATTCTCATACATCTGTTACAAAGAACAGATCCTCCCTGCAGTGCTAGAAACGTAAGCATTAGTGCAGATGTGAATTAACAATTTTTCCAAATGAGCTCTAGCAATTTTCAATCAAGTTAATGCAAATAGCTTGCAAACTTCTCACCTTTAGTGCAGTAAAAGCTTAGATTCCATCACTGTCATTTCCAAAGAAGCCTAGCCAGAGAACGTATCTTCAGTTCACTGAAGTGTGAGCTGACATTCATAAAATGTCATTGTAAACAGAATGCCTACTCACCAGTTAATGGCATGTGCTGCAATAGAGACCATGTGCTTTTCAAGATGGGGTTAAGACTACGGTCTGCTGACTAAACTGCAGAGGCCTTAGGCAGTAACCAGAAGTGATTGTGAGCACTACTGGATTGCAAGAAGAAAAACAAAAAGTGTGAAAAAAAGCTCGTGACCAGTGATTTAGCTGTACCTAACCACCACAATGCTCGAGCAAAGGACACTTCGGAACTGCTGCTGGAGAATACACAAACGTGTTCAAAGAGCTATTTATCCAGTGTTTCCAGTTACAACTCTGCACAAAGGGTTGTGTGCATCCAGTCAGTATATCCCTTCCCACCCCACCTTCAACACAAGCTCTTGGAAAATTCACAACTTCACAGCACTGAAAGGTTTCACACCAAGATGTAAAAGCTACATCGCCCTGCAATAAAGCAGAGACTTCAGGTATTTTTCACTAGTACCTCTAGTTGCATGTATTTTGTTTAGTTACTGTCTGAGTAGGTGTGATCAGCATTCAACCTATAGAACAAATTATAAACTCAAAGACAGCTTTAAACTTCCACTTCAGGCAATTTTCCCCACTACCGAGTATAGAACAGTGGTAGGTTGGTTGTTACAAAAAGTATCTGCAACTGAAAATTCACACCTCAAGTTCTTGACTTCTGAAAGTCAGTCTGAATCCTTCCAAGAAAGGAACTTCAGAAGGATTACCTAGGTTCTCTCTGCCTAATTCACAGCAGCTTCAGCTTTTCCCCAATTCTATTTAAAAAGTATTGGCCCAGTAACTGTGATATCACTGTGTGGCAGAGATCCCCATCCTAGGAAATTCAAGGCAGTTAAACCGTCTTACTGTTACAGCTTTTGACCATAGCACGTTTTCAAGTGTTACACAAGTTCAGCATGCACCTGTACCATGATTGTACACAGCATTCACCACAGACTGCCTAACTGCTCACGGGAAACTTAGGATCTGCTTCAGTATCAGTAGATTAAATACATAAAGGCCAACAGCATTGAGTCACTGATGCTCTGAAAAGTTATCATTCCGAAGATATGGTACCCCCAAAAAACAGAAGATTCCTGACAAGCTACTATGGTAGCTTACCACATTAAGCCAGAGGCCTAAACCCACCCAAAAATCATTTAGTTCAGCTTGTGCTACAAAGTGTACACCCTTTCAGGAGGGTGAAAGCACAGTCATATTGCCACCTAAGCCAACAGTTTTCCACCCTACCGATAAAGCATTTCTTTAATCTACATCCATATTGCTTCAGTGTGATAACACCAAGCAGGCTCAAAGCCCAGTCACACATATAGTGTGTCAAAAATAGTACACTTTGGAAACATACCTCGGAAGGCGAGATATGCTGCAGCTTTATCAAACTACCTACACAGTCATGCCCAACACAGGAAAAGAATGGGCTATCATCCCTTTGTGAGATAGGAATCACAAAATGGCTACAGTCAAGGATCACTGGAACAGGCCTAAAGCTAAACCCCAGCATTTCTGCTCTTCTATAGCAAACATCAGCATACAGAGTAAGTGATATGCTGTTTACCACTGATTACTTGGACAATCTGCTGCTTAAATAGACGTAAGCACAGATTTTGGAAATAACAGCATACCCATACCAACATGCATCAATCCTAACTAGGCTTGGAAGGGCCAAAATAAATGCAGTGTTACACATCGGAAAGAACAAAAATCTCTCTTGCCCAGTAATACAGAATGTGGAATTACTGAGAAGCTACATTATGTGGTTCCATCATGAAATCTGTCATTCACTAGAATTTATAAAAAAATCCTTCCAAGCCCAACAGTGACGCAGAATTTCCCAAGTCCAATGAAGTCACAGTTAATTGCAAATATGCTGAACAGCACATTTGAATTCACTTCCAAACAACTTCCAACTGTGTAAACTACCATAATGGTTAAGTACTAATCTACCAAACTGCCACTCTAGTCTTCCATGTTAAACACCTGACAAGAAAGCCAGCAGTTAACAGTGACATTACACACCCATCCGAACACTGGTAGAGAATTCGATTCCCAACCACAACATCTCCCTTGTGCTAAGCTAAAGCCACCACAGGATACATTACCATGTCACTTCCCATCATAGAACCACTCATGGCTGGTTGGCCAACTCCTGGATTAGCTTCATAACCTATGCCGCCACCACCTCCAAGAGGTGGGAATTTCTGGGCTGCAGAAGCATAAGGATCTAAGGAAGAGAAATACATAATCATATTCTGACACTTTCTAAGTCAGCCACAAAAAGTAATCATTGAAGAATTCTTTACCTCCCATGTTCATTGTGGTGGCACCACCCATCCTCATGTCTCTCTCCCTCTGCATGGAAGAAACAACTTTGAGCATACATAGGTAACCAACTAATGAATTCTGTACCTTTTCAGGAGATAAAGCACATGTACAGCCAACTACTACCTTTTCACCTACACAAAAGCAACACGTTATCTAACCTAAGGGAAGCAAAATGCATCAGTCTCAAAAATAAATCCAAAAAATTCCTGAACATGATAACATATCCAAAAAACAGTATGATTTCACTTACTGGATCCATGTACCCCATTCTACTGTAATTCTCTTCCCTCTGTCTTCTCATTTGTTCCTCCATCTCCCGCTGACGTATCATCATCTCCTCCTCTCGCCTGCGACGCTCCTCCTCCTGCCTGATCACCCCAAAGCAGACTGTTAAAACCCAGGAGTGTAACACATCTACTCATCAACATCACTTGCATCAGCAATCTGAAAGGCACCAAGTGATTGCACTTAAGCAAAAAGAGATACTCTATGATGCTCAAGCTCTTGAGGAGAAACTTACACTGCAGTTCAATTTCTCATGCACAAAGTGAAGCAGCGATGGTGTTTCTTGAAAAATAAAAACCTCCATATAAGTAACTGGGAAAAAAATAATGAATCAAATGTAACTTTGAAAAAAATAAAGAATCCCATGAAAGCCAAACCAACCTCAGCTGAATTTCCTTGCGCTTCTGCATTTCTTGATTATGGAGTTCTTCCATACGTCTCAACTCTTCCTGACGCCTCATGAGGTCTGCGGAAACGAAGCCCTGTCAGCAGCTATTTCACAAACTCATGCCAGATTTACACTCAGATTTGGGAGAGCTCAGCCCCAGCAGCACGATGGCAGGCAGCCACGTCCCAAGTGTCACTGGTTGTAACAACACTTCATTTCAATGAAAATCGAGAAACTATCAGTTGCTCTTTAAACCTAAAATTCTCAAGTTAGCAGAGGAAGCATGAATTTATTCATGAAACCATCAGCCAGCCAGCCATTAAATCTAGCACTGAAAGCAAAAAGATGATCTAGAATTCACAGCCAATTACCTTGACGCAAGAGGTTTGCCTGATGCTCATGATAAGCATCTTCCATCTCACTTTCAAGTTTGTCCTTGGCATCTTTCATGTTTTTTGCTACTTGCTCTCTCTGTTGTTTTTCCATTTCATCTAAAGATTTCCACCTCTGGGAATATTCAAATTCAAAACTGCCAGGCTGAGCAAAGCGGGGAGGAGTCTCTCTTTCCCTGCAAAACGAAGATGCTCATTCAGGCTGGGAAAACCTGGAATCTGAAGGTCAATTAAAAAACCACAAGCAGAACAGCAGGATTATCAGGAATCAGCCAAGGAGCCCTGAACATACGACCTCAGAGACTTGTGAGAGAATGCTGGTAACAGTGCAGCAGCATTTTACACACTTAAGCAGCAGCATTTCATGTAAATCCTGTGACTACCATGGCAATGATGGAGGCTCCTGCACTGTCACACCCAAGCAGATCTTCCCACTTACAGCTCTACTGCATGCTTATCTTATCTTCTTGCTTAGATACTCACTCCACTGCTAGCAACTGCCAAGGGCCAAATACTCAAACAAGACAGCCTTTGCCCAAGTGCAGAGCTGCTCATAATAGCAGCATATGGAGAGACGGAGTTTTTCAGTGCCAACTTACCCAAAGCACTACATGCCAAAGGCAAATAATAATCTTCACTTAAACAGCTTTCAAACTGCCTGAGGGCCAACAATTCATTTTGTCATATAAAGAAATGGGAGTCAAAGACTCAGTAAGTGAAGGGAACAAAACTTGGGAAGTTCAAAAGCTTTCCATACATTAGCTATGTAAGGCAGCGTAGCATTTTAGGAACACCATACTAACATGCACTGTTTTCAAAGACACTGCCTCTAAACTGTTCCTAGTTTTTGATGAAGGCTAGCAATTCTGAACCCTTTTTCATACAGACAAGACAGACTGGATCTCTTCCTGCACTCCCTTTTAAGGTCCAGGAAAATACAGTATTCTTACAACAAGCACGTTCAATATACATATCCTAACTTAAACCTGTTATTTAGGAAGACTCTTATCTAACCTTTTATCCTGAGCCGTCAGGCTCCTGAGGCAAACCTGGAGGCAGTTGGCTTTTATTAATCATGGAATAAGTTAAAGTTTTACTTAATTCCTCATCTCACACCACAGACATCCATGTATGAGTACTCTATGAAGCCATCAATACGAAATACACCATGAGATGGCAGTTCTCAACAGGCGGAGCAAACAGCTGAAGTCTGCTTTGCTATATATACCAAAACCATCTGCTATTGAGCAGCTATTTAAGCCTTTACTGTTTCTTTGTGATGCAATGTCGAAAACTGCTTCGGGAATGCTCAGTGAATATACTAAGAAAATCTGTATGTTATCTGAAGCCAAGCTACCACCAAAAACCCAACAAGAACTAAAAATACGACTCAAAATTCAAAGGCTGTTCCTGAAACACTACTCCATCTCCTTTAAAGCCGAAGACAATACTACATACATCATCTACATACGCTTAATGCCAAAAAATAGTGCCTACTTTTGATACATTGGATTCTTCTGAGCAAGCTTTTCTGGAAGACCGTCTTCATCATCCAGCTGTTCCAACGGTTCCACAATAACTGGCCTAGGAGTGCTGAACACAAAATACTCGGTTTACTTCCCCATCCGAACCTCCAATCTGAACAACCGATAGCTGACAGCTTGAGCCAGCTTACAGCTCAAGCTCCTCAACGGCAAATACTTACGTTGTCAACAAAAACACTCCCTCGGTACACCGTTCAAAGGCTTTTCTTGCCGCTGGCTTTGACGCAAACTCAACAATGCCTTTTCCTGTTGATCTACCTCGATCATCTACAATCACAACCGCTCTTTCCACTGGACCGAACTGGGAAAACGCTTCCTCCAGCAACTCGTTGGACACATAAGGTGAAAGATTACGCACTGAGAGAGCAGCAGCATGGGTGGCAAACCGAACACGAAGCTGGCGACCCCTCATGGGGGTATCATCCAGTTCTGCCTTCGCAATTTCTGCAAGAGCTCTGGATTCCTAAGGGAAGTTTTAAGATCCGGTTTTAGAAAACCAAGCTGCAAATTACTATTTCGGAGGAATTAAAGGGAGGAAATTAATAGAACGAAAGCCTACCAATTTAATGAATCCAAAGCCTTTCCCCTTGTTGATAAAAACCTCTCCTGGCTCCCCATATTTGGCAAACAGTCTTTTAAAGTCTTCGTCTGTTATATCAGCAGGCAAATTCCCAACAAACAAGCGGCAACGCTGAGTATAGGTCTTCTCCCCGGGTCGCCTCAGCAGAGAGAGGTTTGCTTTAAATCCCTATAAAGAAGCAGACCAGTTCGAGCCATCACCGCCAAGACGCGGCGTTACCCCGCCAGGACACCAGAGCGCCGCCGTTATAACCCGCGCTGCCAGAGCCCCCTCGGGGCCCGCACGCACTGAGGGAACGCGCTCGGGCCGCCCGCGCTCCCCTCCGCCGCCTCCACCGGGCCCCCCGCGCTCCTCCCCTTAAGATGGCGGCTGAGGCGCGCACAGCCGCCGCCATCTTGTGGCTCGGGGAGGGGGAAGGGGCCATGACTCACCTCGTCCGAGAGCTTTTCACCGCCGCCGGCCGGACCCTGCTGCGAGGAAAGGCTCTGCTGTCCCTGGTGCTGCTGGCCGCGGCCGCGCTGCTCTCCGCCCGGTCCGCCGCGGTGCCCCGGCCCGCCCTTGTGCGGCCCGCCGGGCCCCTGCTGCGGGCCACCCGGTCCCTTGGGCCCGCCGCCGGGCGACTGTCCTTGTCCTTTCTTAGGGCCGCCAGCCGGGGTAGGGCTGGGGCTCGGCTTGGGCTGCGCCTGCCCACCCGGGCCGGAAGGAGTCGAGGAAGGTGTCGACACCGGGGGCTGCTGCTGCGGCGTCTGCCCCGAAGGCAGCGCGGACGACGGAGGCGCTCCGGGGCCGGCCTGGCTGCCGGCGGGCCCCGCTGTGGTGGCGGCTGACGAAGAAGACGAGGAAGGTGGAGCAGAGGTCGACGCGGGCGGCTTCGGAGGCTCAGGCTTCGGGCCTCCTCCCGGCGGGCCGCCCGGGCCCTGCGGGCCGCCCCCCATAGGGCCCCGGTTCTGGCCCATGCCCATGCCGGGCGGCGGAGAGCGGAAATCGTGATTGGGGCCTCCGCGGCCACCGCCTCCGCCGCGCCGGTGGAAGCCGCCTCCACCGCCGCCACGGCTACGGAACCGATCCCGCGACATGGTGATGGTGAAGAGAGGAGAAGTGCTCCGGATGCGGCTGCCGCTCCTCAGAGCCCGCTGCGCAAAATGGCGGCGAACTGCAGGGCCTCGCCGCCGCCTTTGTCCGCCCCTCATATAGCTTCCCCGCCCCCGGAAGCCACGCCCTCCGCCCCGCCGCTGCCCCGCCGGCCTCGGCGGCGCGGACCGACTGCTGGAGCCACCAATCGTGTGCCCCTATTCCGCTAACTCCTTGATCCCATTGGTGGGAACCCTGCCTTCTATCAATTGGCTCGTTTAATCGCCGACGAGGCCATCCGTTACCGTCCTGCATGCTGATTGGGCAGTTTGATCGGCGGGAGGCGAAGTCCCGAAAGATACCCGACTTCCGATTGGCTGCTTGGGGAGTCAGTCAGGCGGGCGGGAAGCTGTGCGCGGGCCGCCAGCGGCTCCGCGTTGTGCAGGCCCCGCGGGCAGGACAGGGCCGGGTACCCCCGGGAGCCACTCGGCCGCAGGGCGGACGGAGGCGTGGGGCCTTAGGGCAGCCCCGGCTGAGCCCACACAGGCTCCGGCTCGAACAGTGCATGTTGAAGTAAAGCCATTTGCGTGCTTTCGGCACAGTCGGCAACCCTCGCTCCGGCGCTGACGGCAAATTTGATGTAAGGCACCCTATGTACTCCATCAAGAGGGGCAGTGACACACAGGTCGTTTTCACTCCATGGTGGTTGAAAAGCAAGCTCCCTGTCAATGCTCTCAATGCCGTGTCCTTGGCTGACAAAGGAGGTGTCAGTTCCCCAGAATGTAAAACTCTCAGTAGGAAATCAAAGCAGTTGTACAAATCCATGGTGGTTGTGGTCACTGTATTCCTTATTCTAACACTGAAAACGAGCCCAAAGTGCTCCCCATCTGTTTAAGGTTTTCAGCGCGCTGCAATGGAGACACCAACGTTACAGCACGACGCTTTCATGCTTTCGCTTCAGAAGGGTTTCGCTCCATCCAGCTCCCTAGCTCCTGCTGATGTTTCACATTCGGTTTTGGGTCTGAAGAACCAAACCCCACGTGAAACCCAAGTGAAAGCCGCAGGTTTGGTTTATATACACAAACCCCTGTCACTGCTGCATTGCCCTGGCAAAACACCACTCAAACCTTGTAACCACCTGTGAAGCCCCGGGTTGCCAAAGGGCTGACTTCACAGCAAAGAGAGCTTCCCTGTGGGTAAAACTGTGCTATAGATCGATCCTTCCCCCAAATGAGCACTGTCCCCATGACTTCACCCATCTCCAAGCGCAGCAGAATGGGAGCCCCGCGTTGCTTTAAAATGGATTCTCTCCAGATGTCAGCCCCTCTCTGCGAGCAGTAAATGTTTCCACCACGAGGTGTCTCAGAGGTTAAAGCGCTGGAAGAAGGAATTTGGGACGGGCTCCTGCTGCACACAAACGCGGCATCGCCTCGCTGTCACTCACACCTGGCTGCGCCTGTTCAGGAAGCAGCAAAATTACTGGGTGTGAAAGGGCTGGTTTCGCCTTTGTTGTGTCCCAAGTATAAGTGAACTGTATTTTAAAGAGCTGTTAGTTTTCAGCATCCTTTGGAAGAAATAAAGAGGATAATTCTGCTCTCAGTCCTGTGAAAATCTGTTCAACTCCTCTGAGGTCCACAAAGTAGCTTTGAATTTCTACGTATCTAGTAGAGGCCAGGTTGTGCTTACATGTTTTGTAACTGCGATATAAGAGTTTATCCTGGGCTTGAAATCAAAGGAACATTGATGTCGCTATGAGGACTTTTTAATGACCTCTGGTAACAGTCACCTGTTTTGTAAATACTCACATAAGGCAGCTTGCTGTTTCCATACAAAAACAAACACGAAAGAAAGCCCGAGCTGTTCTCCCCAGCGTGTTCCACTGTAAATAAACCTTGTGTCCAGACTGGAAACCCTTTATGACAACTGTGATGCTCTTTACAAGCAGCTCTGTGGTATTTCTCCATACTTCATATTGATCTGTTTGCAGGGATGTTTAGTGCACACACATATGAATTTAGTTTAATAGGTTCTGCTGGGAGAATGAAAAAAGGAGGGAGAACTCAAGATCTTTCCCTCCTCCAGAATATTAATATCTACTTAGAACACCAATGTTATTACTTCTGAAGATTCTTCATACTGTGCAACTGATCTACAAAAGTGAATTAAGCCATGATAAGAAGAGATGGAGGAATGTATCAAAGAGGGAATCAAGCTGCCACTGAGGTGTCTGAAGTCAGGAACGTCTCAGCTGCCACCAAGCAGAAAGGCATGGATCTCAGCGGGTGGTTGATTTCGATCATTTTCCCCTAAACCTTTTCCTCCTCCTCTCAACATAAATAAAAGACTGGCAAGAAGATATCTGCATTATCTCTATATTATTAATTGCAGATTGCAAGAGGGAAGAGCAGCATGTGTCCAACCTGCTAATTAAGAATAATTACCCCACGAGGGTCTGTAAGTGACCTGTGTACAAACAGTAAAAGCTCATGAATCACAGTAACGTGTACCACCACTAAAGAAGCAATTAGATGAGGAGCGATTAAGTTGTGAAGAGATGCTGTGTCTGCATTCCCCAGGGATTTCTGACTGAGAAGGAAACAGTTTAAGGGCTGTTTGCACGAATCCAGGTATGTCACAGAACTAGAGATGCTCAGGAATTTTAAGAATCAGGAATCAAAGGAAGGAGTGGACAGGGCATGAGAGCAGGGAGGCATCTAGCAGGTGGAGGCTAGCATGCTTACCCTGCTGCAGCTCCACCAGTCAAGTCCATGGTGCACTTGGATAAACCGATCTCTGCAGAACGGCTCCAGTATCCTAGAGCTCAACACATTTTCATGAATAACTGTGTCACCTTTTCTAGAACAAATGAGGAAGTAAAATGCCTCCAGCCACAGTTAGTGGTACCTAACACTGGAGGCAGGATGGAAGGAGTGGCTAATAGCTGCTGTGATGGTGATTCAGCTGCACAGCAGAGCTCTCAGCAACCTCCCTGTGATGAGTTATCCTCTTCCTCCTGCACTGTTTTCACTCCCTCCATGAACACTAAACCTGCTCTCCAAGAGGTTTTTTCTGTATATCACAACGGATACGGCTTTTTTAGTAGGCCCTATTTTAACCCAGATGAATAAAAGTAATGCAGGGCCAGATAAGAGATCAGAGTGAAAGGCAAGTGAATTGATAGGCTGAAAGAAGGGATGAGGGGTTGATTGTCTTTGCACAGTAACATCGTTTATTTCAGTGGTTGTAATCTTGATTCCTAATGGAACACAAGAGATGAGAATCAGACTTAAGAGTCTGCAAAACAGGCAGTATTGGATCTGCAGGAAGTCTGCTGTCTGGACCACAAATTCACAGTTGTGCTGGAGGCTGTGCTCTCTCAACCTGGAAGGGTTAGAGTTCAGGGTTTTCCATTTCTGATGTCTCTCAACTAAATTAAGTTACTAAATGCCTTAAGTAGCAGGAGTTTTGAGTTCTCTGTCAAATCCAAACTAGCATCAAAGTCACTGGAACAACTGCTCTTTCCCTCCCCTGGCTGCCTGTGTTCTCCTCTCTGGAGCTGTGTTCTGCAGTGGGCAGTGATGCTTGCACAAAGTGTGCATGCCTGCTGAAGGCACACTTGAGTATACCAAGTCTGTCTTCCAAGAGGCTCCAAGAGCCCTCCGTTTCCAATTAAGGCAATTACAGTTAAGGGTGCTTATGGGCTTGCAGAAGCACTCAGCATAGTTGTATGACAAAGCCATCAAGCTACACGTTTCCTTGAGCTGTGGAGAGAAACAAGATATGCATCACTGTCCCTGGAAGTGTTCAAAAACCATGTAGATGAGGCTCTTTGTAACATAGTTCAACAGTGGCCTTGGCAGTCCTGGAGTAATGCTTGGACTTGATGATCTTAAAGGTCTTTTCTAATCCAGCTGATTCTGTGATTCTATGACAAATAAAATTTCTCCTGCTGCTGTTAACAGCTTCCATTGCTTCTATTAAGAGAATTTAAAATGTCACTGAGAATAAGTATGTGATGAGAATGGGACATAAACGCTAAAGAGAATCAATCCTATTCTTCAGTCTTACTGATAAGGCAAGAGCTCAACAGGAAACGGATACATGAGCTCTGCAAGAACACCAGCAGCTCTGAACTGCACTTCTACTTAATGTTTGGCTATGCAAAGAATGTGAGTGGAGCAGGAAAAGCGAGTAGCCTCACAATGCTGGATTTCATCAGACTGCATGGGCTTTCTTACCAGCTTCAAAACTGGCAATGTCTTCTCCATGCACTTTTTGGAATCCACTGGTATTTCCAACGCCAAACTCACACAAAGGGGGATCATTGGAAACATACAGGAGACAATCATGAGAAAATTAGGAAAACTCTTTTTGCATTATATAAAAACAGTAGATGTATTCAAAGAAACATTTGGCAAAAGTGAGGTAGTCACAGCACAAAATTCAGGATGGTGTTAAAAAGTAGCAACCATTTGTAAATGGGCACTCCTATGTAACCCACAATAAAGAATCAACAGGCAACATCTGTGATCCCCAATAGCCCAGATTTTAAAAAAGTCTTTATCACCTCTTTTTCCTTTTTAATTGTTTTTTGAATCTTATTATAGCAAGTAATACCCTGGAAACATCACTGTATTACAAATAATACCCTCTAAACAACATAGTATCACAATGTGTGGCAGAGCCTGCAACTGGTCTGAAACAATGTCTCACTGAGGTCTTACTAATCTCACCCTGACTTACAGTGAGTGCTCGGAGGGGGCAGCTTCTTGCCACCACCAACTCTTTCACTGCTGATCAAAGGTGCACAAGGGCTGTGTCACAGTAAGGACATTTAAGGGGGTGGGAGTTCAGATTTTCAGTAAGGAGAGAAAAGCAGATGAAAAACCAAAAGCAGAGACAGAAAAGCAAAGAGAAAAATCATTATTTCCTCTCTTGTGCCATGATACAAGACCCTGCTATGAGCCTTGACCAATAAATCTCTCCTGGTAGCACAAGAAAGGTTTGAATATAGCTAGAAAATAATTAATAACTGTTTACTGCAACAAAGATGAGCTTTCTGCTTGTTCCCTATGCCAGCCTCTACCTGCACTCTGCTATGGACTAAATGCATCAGTGTCTGGAG